TCAGTTGTGCTCCAAATTTTCTGATCAAGGAGATTATAGAGTCACAAGGAGAGAAAACATTCTCTCAGGCTTTCACAGAGAGCAAATTGGTCAAGCAATGGCCGTGACTCATCCTCATGGCTGACACTGACAAAGGATCTACAAAGTTCGGTACAGGGCTACAGGATAAATCCTGAGGGGACTTGGCTGACCTTATCAGGTACAAAAGTTACATTTATTGTTATATAGGTCTTGCTTTATCTTGGTCTTAACCATCCAGCAGAAAAGTATAAAAGCGAGGTATATAAAGTAAAGCCATATTAATACCATGAGATATAAAAGGCTCAAGTCAGTAATAACTTCTGAGGATAACCCACTAATACTAAAGACTGCTAGACAGTGTTGAATTGTTTTGCTGAATTCGAACACCTATAGTATTTAGATGCCAATAGAATATCCACCTCTGACAGGACTAAACAAAAAAAGGGGGGATACAAAGGAAAGATCATTTTGTATTTATATATACAAAATAGGATAGATATACAGCTACTTTCGCTTAGTTCAATAAGAAGAAAGAGGTGTACTAATAGTGATTGGACAGGATATCCTGTCTGCTTCTTGTACTATGGGTAAACACTAAGAAGATAACAATGTACAGTGTATTGATTATCAAAACTGTCTTGTTAATCAGGTTTGAAACTGTCTCATTCATATTAGTTTCTCAATGAAATTAAAATTTTTAAAAAAGGCTGGTTGTGGTGTTTCAGTTTTTGGAAGCAGGATCTCACTGTTTATTTAACGTTGACTTTGAACTTACAGATCATCCTGCCTCAGCCTCAGTGCTGGGATTATACACTTGCACCACCTTGCCTGCCAAATGTGATTATGTGATTTTATGTGTACTGTTAGGATTGTCCTGAAATTTTCCAATCTCTCGGTTGAATCTCTCCTTCTCTCCATCTTTTCCTTTCCTCTATAAATCTAGGTTTGAACTCAGGGTCTTCTGAGTTAACTTCTTTAGCCTAGCCTTTATTTATTTATTTTTTTAAGATCTCTCTATATTGCCTAGGCTAATCTCAAATATGTGTTTCTCCTGTCTCATCTCCCCAAAATGCTGAGATTATAGATTTGCACCATCATACATAGCAAGTTCACCAAAGTTAAAGAGTTTTCATCTCAGTTTTTCAAAAACATTTTCCTGTTGTACTTTCACCTCTTTATCTTTTGATACTCTAATTTTATATATGTTGGATTACTGTACTGAGATTCTTTTATTTTTTTAATTCTCTAAATTGAGTAATTTTTAGGGCTAGCCAGATAGCTCAGCGGATTAAAACATCTACTTGAGCAGTCCCAGGGACCAAGGTTTGATACCTGGCATGCTGTGCTGGCGCTGCTCTCACAGGGCAGAATTGACACTGAGCGTGGTGGCATGTGCCTGCAATCCCATTGCTTGGGAGGCTGGAAACAGGAGGATCACTACGAGTCTGATCTGTGTAGTGAAACCCTGTAAATTTAAAAATAAATAAATTGGGTAATTTTTGTGGATTTGTATTTAAAGTTAAGTGACTTCTCCTTTTGTTGTCTCCAATCTTCGAAGGACTGCCCAGTGAATTTTTAATATTATTTTAAGCTTATCTTTGTATATGTGGCACTACAGATTGAACCCAGGGCCTCTTACATGTTAGGTAACAGTCTACTTGTGAACTGCACAGCCAACTGAAACTCCTCCTTTTAGAGGCTGTTTTCTTTCTTTTCTTTCTTCCTTCCTTCCTTCCTTCCTTCCTTCCTTCCTTCCTTCCTTCCTTCCTTCCTTATTTGAGACAGGGTCTTGCTATGTAGTCTGGGATAGCCTTGAATTTATGGGACTCCCTGTTCTTTACCCTCCCAAGTGCTGGGATTACAGGCTATGACATCACGCCTGACTAGAATTAGATTTCTCCTTAACTTTGTCTTTTTTTTTTTTTTTTTTTGGAACCGGGAACTGAACTCAGGCTCTTGCGCTTGTCAGACAAGGACTTATTCTACTAAGCTATCTCCCTGGCCCTTAACTTTGGCTTATTAACATAATCTTGTTATCCATGAATGTATATATAATGCTAGATTAAAGTCTTATTTCCTA